AAACCCTACAACCCCAAACCCTGAAACAATAAACCTCCAACCGCTAATACTTGAATTCCTATTACCCCTAAACCGCAACTTCGGGGTGGCAGGAAGAGGCGGGGCTGTCGATCTGTCAGGTCCCCTCAGGAAGAGTCGGCACATCGATTAAGGCAGCTTTTGCATGGGCTTCTACGGAGCAAAATCGGAAAAGCAACCCCATAAGCCCTGAAGCGTCGAACGCTAAGCCTTAAACCCGTCATATACCTCGCCTGGATTGTCCGAGTGTGAGAGCCGAAACCTGTGCCAAGAGACCCCATGGCAACTTCCAGGACACACGGCTGGAGATGCCGGCGGTAGGCACCAGTATTCCTCTCTTTTGGGACGTGGGTCTAGGATGTGGTGGTCTCCGGATTCGGAAGTTTAGACACGTGCTTCCTTTCTAGTGAGTAGCGGGTGCTTGGTATTGTCAGTAGTGTAGGAACCTGACTAAGAAACCCTGGCCCTATAACCCCAATATATTAGGGTTCAAAATTAAGAACCCCAACAAAGGCCCAGGGTTTCTTAGTTCCTACATGAGGACTGGCTATTTGGGTCATGCCTGGCGGAGCTGAACTCCCACTTGGGTTGCTCGAGGTTGCCCAGGATGGTAGACAGCACTTTTCCTCCTGCAGGGGCCCTTTCTTTGGGAGTCTTGCAGGTTTCATGCAGGACCTCTCTCGTCTTCACTTGTGTGGATACTGCATCTGCTTCCGAAGTTCTCCAGCTCCGGCCCCGGAGACCTGTTCCCTTCTGTGCGCTCGTCATGCACGACTCCAGCCAGCTAGGAGGGCGGCCAAAAACGCCTTGAACACTAAGCCCTCACTAAGAAATCCGTTCAAGACGGTATGCTGCTCGAGCTTTATTCCATGGTTTGCAAAGGTGTGGTGGGCTGTTGAAGGCTTAGGAAATTGGGATTTTCGGGGTTGGTTGTTGTGGGGATGAAAAGGTGGGATCCCTACTTGTGTCCCGAGTTGCCGCATCACCCTAAACCCAAAACCTTAAACCCTAAACCCTACAGGTGCGAGTGCGGCCAGCGCCAGCGATTTCAGCGGCGCAATGGGGGGGGAAGAGTGGGGCAAGCAACCCAGATACTCCAAGATCCCTTAGTTAAGGAATATACCTTAAGTTATAGTAGGATCCCTAATATGGTTTAAGGTATATTCCTTAATTAAGGGATATTGGAGTCTCTGGGAATGGCTCTTTAGGTTCAGGGTCTCGGACTCCAGGCTCGCCATGTTCATCGTGCTACAGGGGCCTTAATAATTAGAA